TTTCATTTTTCACAACTCGGTTAGTGTTTGGGTACAGACTTTAACTGTGCATAACATTTTCTACCCCCAACCTCCTGTTCTTCTGCAGAACTTACCCAATTACTCTTAAATTAAATCAGTCCAGGGAGTTAGGTGCTGTAACTATAGGATTTGTTTTTGTGGAATTTTCTGTTTTTCTTCTGATGAATGTATTTCCCTGTGCTCTTCCTAGCATTTTGTTATTAAGTCTAAGGCTTTATACTTAAGAAAATGGCATGAGGAAGAGTTATTCATTGGGGTAGAAGACTGCTGTCAGAGAAAGTTGTTGGGTTTCAGAGAAGTCCTCTCCTTGATGTTGGACTTTTTCTAATCTTGTGAAAGTCTATGATTTCTTCCTCATTGCGATTTGGAAGGAAAAAAAATCCAGAATTTGGTACACCCTGAGTGGCTAATTGAGTTCTACCCTGGTGACATTAAATTTATTTGTGCAGGAGGCTGATAATTAACATAGTGATATGCAGTATGGTGAGTACGAGACTGAATGGGGTGATTGCTGCTGGACTTTTTTGCATTTGTTGACCAGAGTATCCAAACTTCAACTCCTGTGGAAGCCATTGGAGACCAGCTGAGAAGGACTGAAAGTGTTACTGGTGGATGAAGTCTGGATAGACAGTGAGTATCATCTGGTAAGGGTGGTGATCTATGTGGTAGTAGGAGCCTTTCTGTGATGAAAGATAACCTACCAGAGTGGCTATGGGTCACATAGACCCTGGATTGTGTAGAACTTGTTTTGCTACCCAGAACCAGATAGTACAAGGGCCCTCATTATGCTGACTACAATAAACCTTCAACATTTAAATTGTCACAGCCTGGCATTGGCTGAGAATCTGAAGTTGAGAGATTTATGCTTAAACCACAGGTTTCTGTGAGCAGTGATAAACAAACCTCTCCCTGACATTTAATGACACAGCTAAAGAGGTTATGAACCTTTTCCTGAACTGTTTCAACCAGGTTACTGCTTGGAATAGCTGGACTTAGGAATAATTCTTCTATTGAGCTCATAAGAGAGAAGCAACTTTGGTATTGGTATACAGCTGTAGATGAGGTGTATTACCATTTTGACCCATTTGAAAATAAAGTTATACATTGGACCAAATTCAAGGTTAAGAAGAGAGATTCTGCCAGGAGCTTGGCTATTTGCATTGGAATACAAATCATAAGGACATTATCATAGATGTGTTTATCAAGTAGCCACCTAATGAGGCTGTAAGGCATGACTTATGTGTAAGAGACCTACTCAAACTGCTAAAGGCACTTTCCCTAGTGATATGGTGTGGATAAGTCACAGAAAAGAAAGAAGCCTGCTGTGGATGTACCTCAGACAGACCACTCTCCTTAAGGTAGTGCATCACACTGAGCTCAAACCAGCAGCCAACACATCTCTGCTCTGAAACATGGCTCCTCTGGATACCAGTAAATGGGCATAGGTTCCCTGACCCTTCAATGATGTTTGTGCTGATGTTTCCATATGGATATTATTCTGTAATGGTGAACTAAAGCATCTACTTTGGATGTGGGCAGCTCGGTCAATTTAAAATGAACTGTGTATATTGTCATGTGGCAAGGTAGGCAAGGCTATCAGTTTTGCCCAACTGCACAGCTGATGCAGGAGGGCCAACAGCAATCTGTAGCTGCTATACCTTTGATTCTGTGAAACAGTTGTAGCCCAAGTCAGTTGTTGAGGAAGTGCAATGAACAGATTGTGCCAGAAGGTTTGGTGAACCCAGCTCTCTCAAGGCTGGGTAGCCTTTAAAGTTACAGAGATCAGAGATAGTTTATAGTTGATACAGGAAATGTCAGAACAATGGATAATTTCACTTATATTATGCATAATGAGTGAAGTCACCACTCTGGCAAACTGTGATAAGCTACAAATGACAGGTGAAGCAAGTCTCCAACTGTATCTTTATCAGCTATAGAATAAGGGTAGTTGTTTCTGACCTTAAGTTCTGACATTGATATTCTTAGGCTGGACATACATAAATTGTCAGTCAGGTTTGTATGTGCAACATGTGAACTGAACTTCCCTGGAACAGTCATCTTATGCTGGCTAAATCAGAACATTGGCCTGTACGAGTGCATATTGCTGTGGGAGTCATTGTACCTCAGTGTAAATAAGTGGAGTTCTGTAGTTTACTATGAATGAGATCTATACATTGTTGTTGTGTAAATCAGTGATAGGGCCAGTGCATGAAATGTGCTGTTCTTGCCCAGAAAGCAAGCAGCATTAGCTTGAACAGTTATCTGCCCAAGAGTGCATAAATGCTAGCAGTTTTATTAGTGTTGCTTCTGTCTTGTCACATCTGACAGCAAACAGATCTTATGTATGTGACGTCATGCATGCATTACCAGTAAGATGAAAAGTAAACATCACCATTTTAGATGATAATCTAGTAATCACAGTATAGTTGTTACTATTGGAATTTGGGATCAAGTATTTGAAATGACAGTCAGCTGTGTGGCAGTTAGTTGTACAAACAACCAGACAAAGAATCTGAAATTATTATTTTATTGGTTTCTAAAATATCCAGTAAGTAAAGTTAAATGGTCTGCAGTAGTAAAACATAGAGATCCGAACAACATTGACAAGGCTTGGAAACCATTGTCATACTATATATTATGCAGTTTCCATTTCATATCTGGTTAGTATTACTTGTATATACAATGTACCTTGTCACAATTATCTGGGACAAATCTTGATAAAAATCTGTAACTTGTAAATATTTGGTGCTTCCTGTAATCTAAATATTATAAAACAGGCCACTACAAGTGGTGCTAGTTGGAAGGGGTCAGTAGGTGATATTAAAGTTTTATGAAAAATGTGGCTTGTCAAGCAAGACAGGTGGTCTTAAAATCCAGGGCTTATTTATGTAAAATATATAGTAATGTGTACTGAAGAAAGTGATCTCACAAGACAGGAAGACTTAAAATACAATACGATATATTTAGATTGGAAAATTTCGACTGATAGAACTTAAACAATAGGCCTAGTCATTAAAAAGAACTTTGACTTACCCTCAAATAAGCTATGTAGATGGACATCTTGTACACTATCCACAGTCTGATATCGTGCAACTAGCCGGCCACAAAATACTTGTTAGCATCAAGGTTTTTTTATAAGCTTGAACTGCTTTCTAATGTAAAAAGCTGTCAGGACTAAATAATTTACAATATCTATATTCTTAACCTGTGGGACTTTAACAATGGTTTGATGGCCTAACTTGGGTCCTCTGTTTGCAATGTTGATTTATTTGCCGACATCTAGTGCGATTGTCATTGCTGGTGGGATGGAATAAGGATATTTTCTGCACTTTTCTTCATATCTTGACTTGCATATATTATCTAATTTTCTAGTAAATTTGTGAAAAATGAATGGAGAACTAGGTGATTGTGTAGGGGAGGCTATGTTTTCATGAATAATGTTAACATCCAATATAGCTGCAAATTGTTGCTGTGTTTACTTTGGTCACATGACTGCATAAGGTTTATACTTGTCTGTTTATTAATTTTTACTTACTTGTTGACCATTCTGCTAGCAGTCCGAGTCCAACACAGCAGCAGAAGCTGAGAGATTTGTTGGATGCATATTGTAACATATTTATGGGACAAGATGGCCGATTGGGCCAATAAACATTAGGCTTGGCAATTTAATGAATGTAATGGATTACTTATATGTAATGATTACAACGATTAGTGCCACATAAACTAAACAGCTAATCAAACTGTGGTTAAATCAATTAATTGAAAATAATGTTTCCAGTTATTACTGTTTTTGATTAATTGATTGTCACACAAATAATCAACTAATGAATATTAGGGTTTCTGATTGTTACTATTTTTGATTATTCTAACTATCCAGGTACTTGAAATCTTGCTATTATGTTTGTTTGTTGTAAAGCAGAAAGCTACGTAATGGGTTATCTGTGGTCTATCCAATTTTAGAGGGAAGGCAGCACTTACCACCTTTTTTTTTATATAATGGCTACTTAAAGCTACTGGTACTTGATGAAACTCTATAATTACAAAATTGAGGGAAAAAAACAAAGGAAATTGTACATTTCACAAATACTTAATTTATTAACGACTATGGTTTTGCCATTAAAGGCATCATTATGATGCTTTTTCTGGCAAAACCATGGTCATTAGTAAATGAAGTATTTGTGAAACGTACAATTGACTTTGCTTTTTTTTTTAGTTTGCTTATATATACATATATTGCGGTTTTGGGAACACTGTACCAGTTGGTTAATAGGGCCATTGGTTAATTGATTAGCAAATACTACTAATTGCTCAGCTCTACGTAGGTTCTTGTGACTCATGTATGATTAAATTCTTTCACACCCAAATGAGCACATCGTGCCTCCAGGACAAAACTTCATCACTTGTATTCATTCTCACACACAGAAAAAAATCAGGATTGAAATTTATTCAATAAAAGTGTTGTAATTACTAATGTTATCCAAAATAAAAAATCAACATAAATCTTAATTTGGGGTTGATTTCAGTGTGCTCAATAAAGAAGCATTAGAGTTTGTGAATTTCTTTAATTTTTTCTCAGCTTAATACAGCACTCTAGCACCTTAGGAAGAAAGTAAAAATAGTTTTGAAAAAAATAGCACTAAACTGACCTTGTATCTTCAATGAAGTGTAGTTTTATCAATTTTTCAAACTTTGTTGTCTTGTTGTGTGGTGTGATATAACTGGCTATATTTCAGCTTTGAGAACTCATAAGCTAGTGATCTAAGCATTTAATGAAAGTTCTTTTTTTGGTTTCTTTTCAACTGTATAAACCAATACAACTTCAAGTTCAATGGAATTTCATGTAGAGAGCAGGAAAAGGTGATAAAAGCTTAGCTTGGTGATACATTGCTAGAAGAAAATATATTTGTGTACAACTTCAACTGCAATTAGATTTCTGATTACTTATAAAGCTTGCTTTATACTTTTTTTACTTCATTTAGATTATGATGTTGCAGTATCATAGGAGAAGAAATGTTTTTCCTGGAATAGTATGAGGTATGCTTTACTAAGTCATTTTGCCTCATTGTTCTAAGTAACTGCTTCAATGGACAAAGAAAATTAAAGAAGTGTAAAAAATACATTAAAAAGTGATATAAAATGGATTTATAAGTTATTACTTACATTAAATGAAACCTTCTGATTAACAATTTAAAAAAGGCTTGATTATAATATTTGTATAATATGCCAGTGAATTTGTGTGCAGTGTTTTTCAAATCAAAACAAGATAAAACCTGCTGTTTTATAAAATAGAAGCTATAGCAAAGTTTTAGAAGAATGTAGGAAAACAAAAATCAATATTCAAAACATGCAACAAAAATAAGTATTATTAGTTGTTTCTGAAAAAAGATATCACAATGAAATCTTTTTTGAATTTTCAAAGTTGTGGAAATTACATAATTTCTAGAAAGTTCATAAAAAGTTTCCAACTTTTTCATCCTGTGACTTTTTAAATGCAGTAAAACGTATCACACAACAAGTGTGGTGATTTGTGCACCCAAGCATCTAAAAATTAAACAACCACTGTTCAGGCATTTCTGGAACACTAAGGACATAGCCAACTGGTACTGAGATACAGTGTATGTTAAAGGATGGAATCTTACAGCCATCATAGAATACATTGTTGTCTCCAGTGGTGATTGTCAGGAAGGAGGGTATGCCATGTTTTTGTGTTGACTGTAGATGGGTGAATATAGCAGTACCATGTTGATGCCTTTCTACTCTGTTATTTGGAATAGGCTGTTACACAAGTTGCTTTGGATCATGGGATATGGCAAAAACACCTTTTGTCTGATCATGCATGCTTTCTCTGACTAATGCACTCCTCCTTCCCCTCAGTTGTATGGACAGATAAATTTGAAGTTGTTTATTTATTTAACACTAGATCTGGCATCAAGATACTCACAAGTCAAAATTTATTTTCAGAGCATACAAGGTCGTTTGTTCGTGTTTAGTGTCATGCTATTTTGGCCGTGTAATGTGCCTGCCACTTTTTCAAGAGATTAATGGAGCTTAAACTGAATTGGCTGCAATGGAAAAGATGCATGGTCTATGGCAATGATGTCTTGATGTTTGGCCACATGTTTGAGTCAACTGCTGAACATCTGAGTATGGTATTTAAGTTGAAACCTGGGAAGTGTGTGCTTATGCACTGATAGGTGTAGCTTCATAGTCACAGGTACTTGATGATGACAAAACCTTGTACATTTGCTGTTACATTAAACTTATATTAAAGTTTTTCTTCATTACCCATTCAAGCCATCTCCAAGCATTATTATATGTCGATGGTGAAACTGTGAATTCCTGTTGGATACTGATACCAGTGATAATGAAGTTGGGGCAGTATTATTGCAGTTGTACTACATTGCAAAATATGTTTGTGTATATACTAGTCATTTGCAGGTACTGCATGACAAATAATGAACTGTTCACAGTTGTGGTCTTTGGCAAACAAACACTACTAATACTAATGTAGGAGAAAGTTCACTATTTAAGTGGATCATGTGTCACTGAAGTGATTTAAGAACTTCAAACATTTGCAAGGGATGATTCCACATTGGAATACAACATTCTAAGAACATGTTTTTTTTTTACTTCATTACCTGTGCTTAAAACAAAGAAATGACAATGGTTTATCTCACCAGACAGTGAAAACACTGTTTATTGTATGTCCCAAACCAAGACATTATGTGGGAGTTAAAGTTATATTGTAGAAGATTCCGCTATTAGTTGGATATCATATTTAAAGTTTCAGGAGCTTCAGAAAGAACAACTTTAGGACAAAAAGCGAAGTATGGCAGATAAGTGCTTATATAATTCCTCCATGTGCAGTAAGGGAATTGTGTTTTTATTCAGCACAATATCATTCAGGTTGTATGAATCCAAGTGTAATAGTGCATGTTTCACTAGATTTGTCCTTTTTATTATGTGAACTGAAGTGTGTGGATCAGCTCTCAAATAGTATTACAATATCTTCATAGTTCAGCTACTGGTTTGATAGCTGACTAGGACATTAAATGTATTTTAATATGTAATACTTTATTTAGTTGAAGTTAGTGTGAGTGTTAGTTAGTTGTAGCAGCAGCATGAATATTAATCCTGGCTAAAAGAATTTTTAGCTCAAAAGTCTGAGTTTGGGTGCATTCTGCTGGTGATTATTTATTTTGTGATGCTGTGAAAATGTGTTGAATGTAATGGCTCATTGTTGGCAGTATGTTATGGTGCCACAGCCGTCAAGACATAACTAGCAGAGGTAACTCATATTGATTGTAAGGTAACATCTAAAGCTACCAGTATATATAGATGATGTGTAATGTTCTGGTGTATGTACATGATGTTATACGTATATGAATAGGTATAGCTGTATGATGTTCCACATATGCATTGCATAAATTATGCATTGGTGTTGTATAACAAATGAATCAACTATACAGAGAACCCAACTGTTAAGCAACACATGAATGAGAATGATGGATTTGATCTGAATATTAAGATAGTATGTAAACTGTGACTACTAATGTTTAAGATGTACACCTGATATTTTAATTAATGCTAATGAGAATAATAAGTTTTTCAGTTATGGCACTGAAATATTGGGCAAATATAGATTTTGTTGAAGGAATGAGAGTTCACACTACATTTGAGGGACATCAAGATTTCACCTGGTTTGATTAGGTTCAATGAAATATTTGTACAAACTACAAACATTAGGTTACATATGATACAAAATGAAAACTTGATGTTCTTAGTATTATTTGGTTATGAATATTTTCAATCTTGTAGATTAAAATATTTAGTAGGCACAGTTTTACTGAGTATTTCAATACAAGATGCAGTTAAAATACATCAAAATGCAGACTGTGAGTGTACAGCCAGAAACCAGAAGTAAAACTTGTGCAGTGCCACTTTATATTTTCCTCTGGTTTGTACTAATATTACACCTGAGAGGTTTCTAGAAGAAGTTTTTCTTGGCTGATAGTGTTTCTGTATATGTTACAAGCCTTTTGGCAGAAAATCAGACTAATGGACCCTCACTTTTTATTTTTGCATTGAAATGTAACCCAAGTGTCATTATTATTCGTAAGAATCAGTCTGGCTGAATAACAAGTTTTGTGTTTTTCTGTAGTGAATATATCCATGACTTGTATATGTTTGAAGCCCTTAGGAGGAAAAATTCATGGACGATCACTTTTTTTCCACTGAAATGTAGCCCATATGACAGTTATATCTAAGAAACAGCCTGACTGAATCATACTTTATTTTTTTAGGTAAGTATATATGTAGTTGATAGTGCTTCTATATATACTGAGAGCTTTTTACAGAAATATATACTCATATACAATGATATATTTTTTTGGATGGATATAAAATTCTTTGAGAATTACAATTTCTGAGATTCATTCAGAATTTGTCAGAGGCCATCACATTTTACTGCTCAGTGACTCAGCTGTAAGTCTGAGTGCTTATAGTGCTGTGTGTTGGATTTTGATAATTACTTGTCTGTCAATATAAGCTCATGTCCACACTAAGACAAAATCTTTGGGGAATGTTTCAAAATACTATGAAAAGGAATATATTTTAGTTTATGTGAAAGGCTATGTTGTTTTATGAATAAAAGTAATACAAAACATACTGGAATGTTCATATTTGGTGTTTATTAATCTCTGCAACAAAAATTTACATTTAATCATGAGGTTGAAATCTTAAATTGTATGAAACTTAGTTCTTCTTCAGCTAGCATTCAGATCTTCAGTCCAATGAAGGTCATGAACTGGATGATTAGGTTATAGTCTTCCACCGATTCCTACAGCTTAGTATGTAGGTTTGCCCCCTCTTGCCAGGCCTGAAGTCTCAATTGTATAAAGAGAGCAGTCCTGAAGTATGTGTGCATGCTGGAGTCTGGCTCTGCCTGTTTGTGAACATACAGTGATATATCTGCAAGTTTGATTTTCTTCTACTGGCCACAAAGACCACAGTAGCAGTTTTTAAGTGGTAGATAGTTGTAGCCTGTCCTCTTTCCACTACAATGCCAGTCATTCTTTAATCTTTGCTTCACTAGAGTTTTCACTTCTCTGAAGGAACTAGTGACCAAGGTTGACATTTAAGGCTCCCATCTTTGGACAGCCTGTCTGCTGTGTCATTGCCCATGATATTCTCGACAGATGTACTTCACTCTTTAGCTAGTGGTTGAGACTCTGATACTTAAGTTAATTTTTTGTTCTGTCTTGCAACTTGCTGCAGAATGAATGATTTGGGAAGTGTCTTATTTTTTCACTTTGAATCAGAATCTTCAGATTTATTTTGCAGGTGTTCAATATATGCCATCTTTTCCATTTCTCCATTGGAAGTTATATTCATGATTTCCAAAATGATGCAAAATCCCTTTGTAGTTTTGTCTTGGTGGATTTTGGCTGTTGACCAAATGGTTAAGCTGTACTCCTGTACTTCAGGATTCTAGAATTAGCACCCCAACTGGCCCCAGTCAGGGCCAGTTGTTTGATGGCTTAGGCTGCCTCATTGTGTGGTTTCCACATTAGTCTTTTTTCTAGTTTAACATCAGGGAAATTTGACATTTCCTCCTTAGGGATATTGTACTCTCCAACCCACAGATAGGACTTCTGTTTACTTGTTGAGAGGGAAGTACAGGTTTTGCTTCTAATGATATCCAGGCCCTTCTGCTTTATTGTACATCATTGTCAGTCTGGTGGATGCAATAAGTTCCTGTGGTGGTGTTATCAGGTGTATCTTAGACAGTGAAATCATTGATGTGAAAAGAGTTGGAGACATGTTTTGGAATAAATGTAGTTATAGCATTGATGTACATAAGGAACAAAGTCAGGGAGATCACCCTGTGGAACTCCTTCTCTCACTTTGACCTACTGGGTTAAGATGCCATCTATTTTACTGGTTGTTCTGTGTAAGAGGAAGTTCTTTATCTTCTTGAACAGTTGGCCCACTACTCCCATCTCCAACATCCTCAGTTGGAGGCCATTCTTATTGATATGGCCAAAGGTTTGGATGAGATTGAAGAAAACAACAAGGATCTTTTTGTTTTTCTTCTGGTAGCCACTTTCTACTTGTTTGTGTTGTGCATGTGAGATTCTTGGACTCAAGACATTGGTTGATCATAATCTTTAACAATTTCCTGATACAGCTCAATAGGCTCATGGGTCTGTAGTTGCCTTGATTTAATTTGCTCTTACTCTTTTTCAGAATTGGGATGATATGAGCTTCTTCCAGATAGTACTCTGCTTGACTTCCAGTTGTCATTGAAGATGGATAACAGAATTCACTTTGCATCTGGTCTAAGGTACCTGAGTATGTTGTTGCTGACTTTATCAGGCCCAGGTGCCTTTTTGCATTTCACTTTCATTATTATTTTCTTAAATTCTGCCACTGTCAGCTTGTCTGTCATGTGATCATTTGGCACTTTCTTGTTGCATCTCTACAGTGCTTTGTTTCTGGTAGATTTTGACGAAGGTGTTAGCTGCCCGTTTTCCCTGTAAGAAACTGTTGACCTACAGATATGTTCTGCATTTTGCAGACAGTTCTTCGTTTAGACAGTTAACTTCCAGAGATTATACACATCTTTCTCAAAGTTCAGTGTCTGTCTTTTCATGCCAGCTATTTTGAACTTGTCCAGTTTTAGCTCCTGTAAGTTCAGCTCTCACTTTATTGTAAGCAATGGTGTTAAGTCTATAGGATTTTTCTTCATCTTATCTGAGGAATCACTGATTTGTTTTTGTAAAGTTTCTAGTTGAGGGCTCCATAAGGGTTTATACACACCTCTCTTGCATCTTGGGATGTATTTCTTTTCTGCATCTAGAATATCTTCGTTGAACATTCTGACATTTTTATTTGTGCTGGTTTTAGAAAAGACTATTTTGCTACACTTTTATTCATCAAGTTGTTGGAAAGGTTCTGTTATGACAGCGGAAATCACGTGACGCTGGTAACACGTAATGAGTATCTCGAACGTTCCTGAAGGCTCGAGTGTTGCCTGATGCCCTCTATTTCGTACATATAAGACCGGCGAAAAGTGATGATATAGATAATTGCAGAGAGATAGAGACAGACAATTGAGTCAAACGTGGCAGTAAGTAAAGCGCGTGAATCATTTGTTGTGAATTATAGCGTGTGTTTAAGTTAAAGTGACTGTGGAAATTAAGTGTATTGCAAAGTTGTATTGAGGAAGAATAAACAAGTTTTATTTAATAAAGGACTTGTATCGCTAAAGTTTCATCCGAAAGAATTTCTACGGAAAATTAACAAACGACCAGAGACGTAACCGTTCCATTTGCCTTTTTTCTTATAATTCCTAATTAGCTGCATTTTTGAAAATAATTATAATTATATGAAACAATAATTTAATAGTAATATTTTTGTATTTGTTGTAAATCAAAATAAAGATCACTAACCATCGCCTATAGTACACTACTTCATGATGTGTAGTACAGGTTGCGAAAGGGTAGTTGACAGGCGTTACTTCAAAGAGACAGGTGGACAGTTAAGGTAAAGACGTAAATATCAAGATATGGATGACAATATATAATATCAGACATTTAGTGATAACTTTGGAAAAAATGCTGAATTGAAAATGTCCTGAAATATAGAATGTTTCATTGACAGTAACTAATACAATTGTTTCACTTTGCGTTTTATGAAAATTTGATGCTATTTGTTATTCATGAATCTTTGATTTTGAAGAATCAGTTGAACTTGTAGTATTGGATAATTGAATACATCCTGTTTATCCAATATTAGTAATAATTTATAATTTAATGCATCAAATATCTGGGTACTATATTAGGAAAATTTACTGTTTGTCAAGCAATAAATAAGATACTAGGGACAGAAATGAATAAAGACTGAAGGTAAAGATAAGCATGCACAGCTTGACAGAATAGGATTTATAGCTTTGGTTCTGATTTGAAATGATGGGCTTACAGTGACAGACCATAGTATAGTCTTGAGATTGTGATATTAATTATACAGGCTGTGATGGTTTTATTGTCATAAAATGTTTACATGTTTAATGGTAATTCCTGTACGCTGAATCCAAAAATGATATCCATTTTTCTCCATCACGTACAGATTTTTCACAAACATCATAATGCAAAACATAGTTCGGAGAGTAAAAGACATAGGTTTCACACAAAAAATCGGGAATAATGAGGATGCATATTCGTTTGACATCGATGCTCTTCCCTTTTCTTTCAATTTGTTTGTATTTTTGTTAACAGACATAATAATTAAAAAATGTTCGTTGTGCTAAACGAAATAATGATTTGATCTAAGTAAGTTTTTCTTTCCGATTTGTAAAAAAATCCTTATTTCATAGGAAAAAAAAAGAGTATTATTTTTGAAATCTGCCTAGCTAAATTATGAAAAATCCATTATTAAAACCAAAAACAAATTTTATGGAGTTTAAATTTGCAAACCTTTGTTATTAATAGGGTAGTAGTAGTGTTGCCAATTACAGGCAATGTGTTAGTGTTTTCCATTGTCAAAAAAAGACAAATGTAGTTAAAAACACATAGGCGATGAAAATAACAAAATTAAATAATAGGTTGAACAATTTATTTTTTATTAAAAGAGGAATGATGTTTCAAGCTAGTGCTCTTCATTAGCTCGTACAGTTTACAATAAAGGCGCATGCACAAATTCAAATAATTTGCGTGGGTAGTATTTTGAATGTTATGAGTGAAAATTCTAAGCAAAATTGCATCTGTTGCATAAAAATTTCAAATCATGAAAATATAAACAGATAGCAATTAATACTTAAATAAACAAAAAAGGAAAAATTTAAATCTACAGGAAAGAAAAGCGTTCAATGAAACCAGATGGTGTAGGGTCCTCAGATTGTAGTTTTATCTCCTTTCCAGTTGTTATCTTTTATGAATGTCTGTTGGAGCACTAATAAATCCAAGAATAGCAAAGTCTTCAACTGTATGGTTTTTATGGTGAAATTTTTGCCCATAGGTGTATCTTGTACGATTTTAAGGCTATTATCTTATTGTAGTGTTGTCATTTTCTTATCTTTTAAGGTTCTAAGGAAACCATGATAGTTATGGTTGGCTTCATGAATTCTTCTCAAAATGTTTGAAGTATCCTGTTCTTAATAAAGGACTTAAGTTTGTCCATATCAAAAGTAGTGTCGATATCTTTTGTACAATGGAAGATATCAAATGTTTTTTTGCAGACCACTGGATTACTTTATTCGTAAGTGTGGGAATGAAATCAACAAATTAAATTTAAACCTGAAGAT